TCAGTTTTTGAAGGGTGCTTAGCGGATGGCACAAAGATTGCAGTGAAATGCCTTGATGGAATAGGACAAGTCAAAACGTCATTCTTAGCTGAGGTTGAAACTATTGGCAGCATACATCATGTAAACTTGGTGCAATTGATTGGCTTCTGCGCTGAGAAATCTCACAGGCTTTTAGTATATGAGTGCATGAGCAACGGATCACTAGAAAAATGGATCTACCACGGGAAACAGGAGCAAACTCTAGACTGGAACTGCAGGAGGAAGATTATTCAAGACATAGCCAAAGGATTAGCCTACCTTCACGAAGAATGCAGGCAAAAGATTCTGCATTTGGATATTAAGCCCCCAAACATACTCCTGGATGAGAAGTACAATGCTAAACTCGCTGACTTTGGGCTTTCAAAGCTAATTGATCGGAATCAGAGCCAAGTTATGACTCAGATGAGAGGCACTCCTGGTTATTTGGCTCCTGAATGGCTTAGTGGAGTTATAACAGAGAAGGTAGACGTCTATAGCTTTGGCATTGTGATCTTGGAAATTTTGAGTGGAAGAAGACATTTTGAAGCATTGGAGTCTGAAGACGAACAGGTAATGGTGAACTTATTCAGGAGAAAAGCAGAGGAAGGGCAGTTGGTTGATCTTATTGATAAGCACAGTGAAGATATGCAGTTTTACAAAGAAGAAGTAGTCAAGGCAATGCAGATTGCTGCCTGGTGTTTACAAAGTGATTACACGAAGAGGCCATCAATGTCGATGGTGGTCAAGGCCATGGAGGGTGTTATAGATGTTGACAAGGATCTAGACTACAGCTTTAGACCACAAACTGTTTCCGCAATACCAAATATCTGTTTTGCAGATTCAGCTCCTTTACTGCCTTCGGTCCTATCAGGCCCTAGGTGAGGAGGAAGTTCCTTGGAATTTTTGTAAATTTCTTGTTTTTATGCTATTGCAGCTTGTTTGCTGCTGTGTAAATTTCTTCTCCAATGTTCACGAAGTTATGATTGTTGTCTTCAATTTTATTCATGCAAAGTCTCTCCCTTTGAGAACTAATCAACTCATCAAAATGTGGATCTAATGAACAAGGACGGTTTAATTTATACCGTATAGAACATTCCAAACCTAACACTTCAAAGGGATTAAAAGCAACATTTTTGAAATTGCATGTTGTCTACGGTAAATACTTACATGCACACCCGCTGTTTACTCCAAATCAAGAAATTCCACTGAAGCAGTTAAAATTTAAAGTGAGAATACATATTTAAGGAAATCTAAGGAAATACAAATCACTGATCATGCACATGACCGGAGAAGCTAAAAGCATCCTCTTTTGTCCGCCCTTGATAGATATAAGCTAAAACACAACAAGAAGCTCAATGTATTACCACAAGTGAGGTATGAGGTAGGTACGCAGACCTTACCCTGAGAAGGTAGAGATACTGTTTCTGATAGAAACTCACTCAAAACAGTTTTCGAATATGGAAGGGTAGTAATATGTACCTCCATACTAGATTAATAGATCATCAATAAGCAAAAGAGTATCTAAGATTTGAACTCATGTCTAGCTACATGAACCTTTCAGCCATGGCTATACAAGGTAAAGGAAACGAAAGAACATCATGTACAAGTAAACTAAAATCGGAGGATGACGATTTTTTAATTCCATATAAACAACTATGAATAGTCACATATTGCTTTATGTATAACAAGCTATCATGATCAGAGTTTGATAAAATATATACACTACTATTTACATATTAATTTTGGAATGACATTGCAACGTCAACAGAATTTACTCAGTAAATTGAGCTTACTGATTCAGTAGACAGATGTGAGTCTAACTGGAACAACCTTCTCTCTAGCTGTATCACTGAATCCACCAGCCACAATTCTCACCACTTTCTTAAACGCAAAATGCAAGCAATTCGACAACGCAGCCCAACACATCAACTCATAGACAAAATCAAAAGCCGGATCAGAAAACGAGTTCGACGAAGATTCTTCCCAATTTGCCCCTCCAAATCCATCAAAATTCCATCCTCTACCACCACCACCACCACCGCCCCAGCTACTACCACCACCAAACGGCCCGTCATAATTACCTCCATCAAATAAAAATCCGTTTTCATCACCTTCATCAGCTCCACCGATCAACGACTTCCGTATAATCCGCCTTGTCTTACGAGCCAGTCTTCGAGGTGCGGCTTTGACCTTATTGTACTTTACAGGAGGCGGCGCTAAGGCATCGATCGGACAAATCACAGCGGAAATTTGACGAACTCCGGCGGTGGAAGGTGATTGCTGCTCCGATGAGGAATCGGAGATTGAGAAAACGTTGTTTGATGAGAAATTGAGATTGCGATTCAGCAGAAACTTTGAAACACCTAAGCCTTGAGTGGTTACCACCGCCGTTAGCGTATCGGAGATCATAGAAACTTCCATTGATGATCGATCTCAAAGGGCAAATTTCGAAAAAAATCAATCAATTTTTAGAATGGGAAGTTAGATATTATGAGAAGAAGACAATTTATATGGTGCTGCTTTGGAATTTTCAAGCGGTAGAAGAGAGAAACGTGTGATTCTCTGCAATGCTTGTTTAAAGTTTTTTTTTTTCTTCTCTTTTATTTTTGGATACATATATTATATATAATATATGATTTTAAAATATAATATTAAGATTATTTGGTCACCGAAGGAAATAAAAGTATCAAAGAATATAATATTTAGAATATTTTGTTTGACAATAAAAGTTCTAAAAGATTAATATATGCACAATTGAAAATAAATCAAAAAACCGTGAAGTTGAAGGGTATTCCGGTCATTCTATAATTTAAGGCTAATCAGTTTTGCATTTCTGCGTTAATCTGTTCTCTGCTGCTCTCTTCATCTGCCATCTGCTTTCTTCGAAACTTGCGTTTCGATCGACTTTGTAGTTCTGTCAAGGTAATTCGTATTATTGTGAATTGGGCAGAAGAACTGTGAATTTCGCAAATCTTCCGATTAAACTTCTCATGCCGATCTCCCTCAAAACCATCCCCTCTGCTTCCAAGATTGAGATAAAAAGAGACCCTCTACGGTTTTGAAGTTGAGATTTGGTCGTGGCCGTGGTGGAGAACGTAGTGATGTTGGCGCTGCACCAGCAAAGTTTCCTTGGAGCAGTATGAACGTCTTATGCTCCCAGGTAGATCATTGTTTTTGCTTGCGCGCTTAGGTAGATTATCTTTCTCTTCGGAATAATTGAAATTTGTATCTATGTATGCTTTGCATCATTTGCATTGTGTTTAGTACCATTATAATCCTAGTTTACTTCCAACAAGTTATATGGAGTTCCATGTTTTTTTCTTCAAGCAAAATAAATAAATAAAATGATAGGTTAGTCTGAATCTATGCGAAGAGATGCAACAACTTATTCATATCAAGAAAGTTGAAATCCCTAAGGAGTGTGTAGCAACTCACTTGCCGAATCAAGTAGCCTCAAAAAATGAATAATGCTTTGGGACAAGTGCTAGGCCTCGATGAGTAGGAGGTTGTGCACCTCAAATACAGAGGAGTGAGGATCGGAAGCATAACATGAGGTAAATGAAAGCTGTAGTGACCTTGATTTGTCTGCGAGGTTGAACAATAACGTAATTGTAACTTGGAAATGGTCCCATTAGTGGAAAGATAGAACCCGGTCTCATTATTTTTCTAGAAAACATTTTCCTTCCAACCGAATATGTGAACTCACCCATAGTCAAATTTAAGTTTGGAAAAATATAGTACATTGAAGAAATTTTTTCTGAGGCACGGCCCTGTGTGTATTGACTAAGGTATTGTGTAGAGTGGAATAACAAGTGACTTGGACTTGGGAATTTATGGCACAGAAGTTTGGAAAATGACAGCACAGATGCTTTTGTGTTGTGATGCCTCTCGACGTATTGAATGTGCTAAGATTGGATAAAGAGAAACCAACCGAACCAAATCATATTAGCATACATAATACACAGGCTTACATGGTTAATGGATCATTTGATAGGTGTGTATCTCACGAAAAAACAAGAAAATGGCCTTTTCCAATAGCATAATACAATAAAGCTTACTGCATACTACCATTTGAATTCAGTAGCTGGACCAACACATACAATGTTATACTTATTTTCACACACGAATTGAGAAGCCTCTACATGAAGCTCAAAAATTTAGTATAGAAGTTACTGAACATTACATTACATGAATTATAGTCTCATACACCATAAAAAATGTATTGCAACGTTTTGAATTCTAGCATAACTTTTTTTTTTTGTCAAAAAAAAAAGTTATGCTAGAATTCAACACGTTGTAATATTTGACATTATGCAACCATATTTGGTTCCTTTAAATCCAAAATCATAAGCATATTGTTTACCTTGGTCCTGATAAAATTGAAGGAAATTTTGAACTGATAATGACTTCCCTCTGTTGGTTGCCTGCTCCAACCTCAGGTACATGTGTGAAATCATAATTCAAGTTGGTTTCAACAGTCACCAAACCTTCCAATGCCTTAACCACCAATGACATGGAAGGCCTCTTGGAAAAATCTCCCTGTAGACACCATGCAGCGAGGCTCATCATTTCAGTCACTGCTTCCCTGTGGAGCTGCATATCCTCATTTTTGTCAACCATATCCATGAGCTGCTCTTGTTCCGATTTTCGCCTAAAGACACTTAGCAAATGGACATCTTCTTCATCATGTTGAGACCAATCCAAATTCTTTCGCCCACACAGAATTTCCAGGAGGACAATTCCAAAAGCATAAACATCAACTTTCTCAGTGATAACCGAGCTCAACCATTCAGGGGCTAAATAACCCCGTGTTCCTCTCATTCTAGTCACAACTTTGCTTTTGTCTTTATCAATTAGCTTCGACAACCCGAAATCTGATATCTTAGCATTGAAGTACTGATCTAGAAGGATGTTTTGTGGTTTGATGTCCAAATGAATTATCTTATGGCTGCAATCCTCGTGTAGATACGCTAATCCTTTCGCGATATCTGATATTATCCTCTGCCTTGTGCTCCACGTAAGCCCATTTTCTCGATTTTCATGTGTAATCCACCTATCCAGCGATCCATTCACCATGTACTCATAGATTAGAAGCCTGTGGGTTTTTTCGGCACAAAATCCAATGAGTTTTACCAGATTGATATGGTGAATGCCACCGACCGCCTTTACCTCTGTTAAGAATGATTCCTTTACTTGACCTACACCATCCAGATGCTTCACAGCTATTTTAGTGCCATTTCTCAGTGTTCCTTCATAAACACAGCCAAATCCTCCTTCCCCCAGCTTTCTACTGAAATCATCTGTAATTATTTTCAGCTCATTGTAAGAAAATCGAGTTAGGATTCCGGGTAAGATTGGTGCTAGATCCAAAATATCCGCAACCTTTCGGGACTCACGTGTCCTCTTTCTGAAAATAACAAAGCAAGTAGCTATGCTTAAAATTATCCCAAAGAAAGCTGCAAGAGTAGATCCTGTTATCACTTTGAAAGGTCTTGGTTTCTTTCCTCCAGGAATGATTAGAGACTGAGTCTGCCCCTTTGAGGAATTCTGCACCTTTAGAAATACTGTATTGCCTCTTCCTTCTTTGCTGTCTTTAAGAGAGAAAACTTCATTCAGTAACAAACAGTTGCCTCTTTGAGCCCCATTCCAATCATATTCAAAAACAGCAGCTTTGCAAGAACAGTTTCTCAGACAGGCCCTCTTGCAATCTTCCAACTTTTTCCCCTCAAGCCAAAATATCTTCGAACTTAGTTCATGATTGAACTGAAATACAAAATATGTAGTATTCTTGAGCTCTACAAAACTATGATACTGCGAGGAGTTGCAATAAATGGAAGTCAGCTGTGAACATCCAAGATCTGGTTCCCTCTCAGAAAATGGCCTGAAGAAGTTTTCCTGTGGCGGACAAGTACATTGCCCGTTATTTGTACAAATGCTATAACTTCCACATACCATTGGGTACCCACAGTTATGTACATATGGCGACAAAATGTCAGATACTTCATTCCAATCAACTAGAGACCATTTGTATTCCTTTAAATGCCCATCAGGCCCAATCTTCATGAATTGAGCTTTTGATTTAGTAGGATAGTGTAAAGCAGTAAAACTTTGGCCATCAAAACTGTAATAAGAACTATCAGCATTGGATGAAGTGTAGTAGTATTGAGGCGGAACAGTATCTGTATAAGCAGCCCAGCTTCCATTGAGAACAGTCAGAGCAAGCAAACCTTGACTATGATTGGTTGCTGAAACGCTTGCTATGAGCTTCCGCCCGGAAACCAATTTCTGCCCTGGAAGCAAAGAATCCGTAGGATGATCAAAAGACTGCCAAATTGTGCGCTTTCTCTTATCAAAGAGCACAAGATTTCCCATTTCTGTTAAGTTTAAGCCAGAAACAGATTCGCCAGTAGTATTAGTGGACCAAACAAGAGTGCCATCAGCGTCCGTCAAGACCAAGTTGCCATCATGGCCTAGTTCCAAGGTTGCATTGAATTTCACTGGATGGTTCCTATTAGCAGACCAAACTAACTGGGGTTTATCTATCACACTGCTCTCATCATTGTATTTGTTGTGGTACAAAAGAATACCAAGAAGGCATTCTGTGGCATTGTACCTGCAGTAGAAGCCACAGAGAAATCGTGGGCCAGCATTTTCCCGCTGAAGTATGGGTGTCACCAATTCAAAGAAGTCGTTGGTGGAATTGACAATAAGAGAGGGCCTGTTGATCCAGAAAGAGGAAACCCCGGCAAGCCCTGCTGTAGAATTCGAAAGAGTGGTGTTGTAGTCCCGTACAGATTGCGATATAGCAAATCGAGACGGAAAAAAGAGGAGAAGGATAGGAAAATACAGTCTCTTTTCTGCAAACATTGTTTCCTAAGTTGTGCCTTTTTTGGGGGATATGACCTCTCTTTAAACTAGCACAAAACAGTTTTAAATTAGCCTAGGCTCTCTTTTTTTTTTCCAAAAATTTCACACGTTATGTCAAAAAGAAATGTTTTTTTCCCAATAAAGTGGATGAAAAATCCCAGAAGCTGGAAGATGCATGCAAATGAAAGATGAAAGTGAAATTGTTTTACATTTATTAGATGTTCCGTACAGTTGAGCTATAATTGATGGCCGGTCCCATTCAGTGGACGACTTGACGCCAACCTGATTGTATATACTGTGTTGGTTTTCGTATAAAACTTGGATATATTGATTACAAATAACTTGTGATAACTCAGAACTGAAATCTATGTAATTCACTATAAAGTCGCTGAAGAATAAATTTACTAAATAGTTTCACACACACACGATGTACTTACATTAAAATCATCAAATCCATGCACCTAGCTAGATCCTTTAGTTTTCAAATACTGAGGAGTGAAGAGCAGAAGCATAGCACAAAGTAAATGGAAGTTCGTAATGACCTTGATTTTTCTGCAAGGTTGAACAATAACGAAATTGTAACTTGGAAATGGTCCCATTAGTGGAAAGATAGAACCCGGTCTCATTATTTTTCTAGAAAATATTTTCCTTCCGATCGAATATGTGAACACACCCATAGACAATTTAAGTATGGAAAAATATAGCACAGTGAAGAAATTATTTTGAGGCCCGGCCCTGTGTGTATTGACTGGGGCAAAGATTTAAGATATTTGTGCAGAGTGGAACAACAATTGACTTGGACTTTGGAATTTATGGCACGGAAGTTTGGAAAAAATGACAGCACAGATGCTTTTGTGTTGTGATGCCTCTCGACGTATTGACGTAGTCGACCAGTACGGTCCGTGGTTGGACAGTAGGTCTGGCCATTGGTGAGGGTCGACAGTTATAAAGAGAAAAAAAAAGGGGAAGTCATATTTTGTAGCACAAAATTAGTTAGGTGATCTATGACCTATCAAATTAAAGATGATTGAATCCTCTTTCCAACTCTATCGAGTTTACCAAGATGTGGTCTCCTATCGTTAAATGGCCTGAAGAAGTTTCCTTCAACTGGACAGCTACATTGCCCATCATTTGAACAAATGCTGTACCACAGGACGGTTCCTGTTAGCAGATCATACTAATTGTGGTTCATATATATATATATAAATCGATACTCTCAACGATGGAGCTGTGTTGGAATATTACTAATAGGACACTAAGAACACATTCTGTTGCACTGTAATTGCAGTGGAAGCCACAAATGTGGTACCTAGGGCCAGTGATTCCACTCACAAGGATGGGTGTCGATGCATAGAACTCCGCGGTGGAATTAGCAATAAAAACCGGCCTGTTGATCCAGGAAGTAGAAATTCCAGAAGTAGAATACAAAAGACTGGTATTTAACTTCCACCAATGTTGAGAAAAAGCAAACCTGAATGAAAAAATGTGGAGATTAATGATGAGAAAGATAGGAAAATTGAGTCTCGAGACAATAATCATCGTGTCCAATCTTGTATTTAAGTGGAGAAAGGCAGAAGGATGAGTCCGTTATCTCAAGTTTCTAAATCTAGGTGATCTCGATCGATTTCTCGATGATAAAAAAAAAGGAAATCATAAACAAATTCTAAAAGTGATATTTCTATATAATTATAGCTTCACAAATGAGTTGCCCTTATGCCATCATTTTCCACTGAAGAACAATTCCCAATTTCAACTCAATAATTGTTCCACCCCACAAGCAAAACTAGGGCCAATCTTTAGTGACATTATTTCAGTTGTATTTTGCTCCATAATTCAGTTTCTTTTAGAGTCTATGTTGCTCAGACTCTTCTAAATCGTTGTTGCATTCATGTCAAACTCTACATAATTGCATTATTTTTTAAAGGCATAATACATATATTGGACCCTAAACTTGGCTTCAAAATTTAACTTTGAACTCCAACTTTCATAATGCACAAACAAACACTTTAACTATCCAACTTTTAAATAAATAAACAAATGAGTCTTACATGACACAAAACACGTAGGACACCATGTAGGACAAAAAATGACATGTAGGACATGTGTGTCTATTTGTTCAACTTTATACAAGTTTAAGTGTCTACTTGTGCACACCCAAAGTTGAAGGACATAAATGTAATTCGAAACCAAGTTAAATGGTATATTTATATATTATATGCCTTTTTGAAATATCTGACATGCACCTATCGATATTTTCAAAACGAAACATCATATTATATTATAAGTGGGAAACTCCAAAATGTAAAGTTGAATTACCATTTTATTCCTATACTAAATAAAAATGTTATATTCATATTTGATTATTTTATTTTTGAAAAATATTGAGCAGTAAACTTTTTTTTACTATTAATGAATTGAGAATATTTGAACAGTTATGAAAATTAAATAATCTAAACGTTAAAGAAAATGAAGAGACAAATGTTAGTCAATGAGAACAAATAGGTAATAATATTTGCAGTTACCTTTACATTGCTAGAATCTTAAAAGTTGTAGATTTCAATACAATGTCACATAGTTAATATATTAATATATGTTATTTTCAATGATAAATACATGAAAAGAAGCTAAAGAGACTAATTAATCATTTAAAGTGATATCATATAAAGCCAAGAATAGTTTTCATTTTCCTCAAGTCCCCTCTCCATTTTTATGGGCTCTAAAGAAGAGTATATCATTTCTCTGAGCAATTTTTTCTCAATCAATATCAAAGTTAAAGGCTATTAAAATACGCTATGAACATTGTTGGATTTGTACAAGTTACAGGTATGGATGTTGTTGGATTCGTCAAGGAAGTTTCTTAGTGAAGAATACACACATGACACTTATTATTTAATTTTCTCGCTAGGGCTTAATATGTGCAACACACAACATTAATTTTACGGTAAAAGATTTCTATATGTTACTGATTTTACACATATTTCATTAACGTAGCACATAACATTTCACTTATTCATTTAAATATTGTAGTTGTATAGTTTTTTGGATTTTGGATCTTAGAAATAAAAACACCATATAGGATACTTATCAATTTTAAGAACATGTAATTTGTATTTTCTATTTTATAACACATAATATAACTTAAAAATATTGTTAATATACAATCTTCACAAAAATATTTTTATTTATTTGGCCACACGCGCGTGGCGCGTACCCAGAAACTAGTCATGAAAATTCGTAAACTTTATAACTCATAAAGATAATTACAAAAACAAAGAAGCAAAACACTTAATTAAAGTGCTTCAATCATTGATTTTCTTCAATTTCCACCTGCATTTCTCCTAATTTTCTCTGTGAAATAAACTCTGTGTTTCATATCAATTTTGAAAATAAAATTTCTACTTACTTCGAATATATCAGAATCTCAACTGGGCTATGAATTTGCGATTAATGACATAAATTATCCAGATCAATGTTGATGATAGAGATCGTATCCAAATATGTGTGCAAAATACGTGCCCGTATTTGCACATGTATCATAAGAACTAATATATAAAAATATTAAAGTAGACCAATTTTGAGTTGTCATGTGTAAAAGACAAAGAATTACCGAAGTTCATTTTGTAACTGATTTTGTGATTTCATAATACAAAAAAAAAAAAAGATTTGAAATATGGAGATTTATCTCAATATGGTCTTCCGTTTACATTTGGGGTTTTTCTTAAATTTCACGGCATTGATTCAATTTGTGAAAAAACTCTAATGACTTTGGGTACACAATTTGACTATTCATTTATTTTTAAAGAGTAGAATTACTTTGAAATAATATATGCAATGGAGCTATGAAGGAACTTAAATGGCAGAAATAAAATAAAAAATAAAAAACATAGCCACAAATTTAATGCTTTTAAAAGTTTCAATACAAATTAGATATTGGAGCATTGTCATCTAACTACAGAAAGAAAAAAAAACAAGAAAAAAGGTATAAATTGGAAGAACTAATTTTGAATTTGATTTTAATATTTTATTTGATTTGAAAAATCAGTTACATTGATTAAGATAATTACAAAAATACAAAAACAAAACACTTATTTAAAGTGCTTCAATCAATGATTTTCTTCAATTCTTACCTGCATTTCTTTCAATTTTCTCTGTGAATTTTTTTTTTGTGCTTCGATTCAATTTTGAAAATGAATTTTCTACGTATTCCGAATATCAAAATCTTAATTGGACTATGAATTTACTTTTCATGACAGAAATTACTCAAATCAAGTGTTGATGATAGATATATACCTAAGTACGTGTGCAAAATACGTGTCCAAATTTGCACATGTATCCTAAAAATTAATATTAAAATATCAAAGAAGACCAAATTCTTAGTTGTCGTGTGTAAAAGACAAAATAAACAGATTTGAAATACAATGTTATCTCAATCTAGTCTTCCTCTTACATTTTGGATTTTTTCTTAAATTTATATGCATTGATTCAATTTGTGAAAAACTCTAACGAGTTACGAATTTAATTCTTTTGGAAGTTTTGATACAAATTAGAGATTTTGAGCAATGTCGTCCAACTACACAAAGAAGAAGAAAACAAGAAAATAGCTAACAATTTGAAGAATTAATTTTGAATTTGCCTTTGATCATATTTTGTTTTATTTGCGTTACAGGACAAATTACCATGAAAATCGGTAAATTATGTAACTACTTAAGATAATTACAAAAACAAAGAAGCAAAACACTTATTTAAAGTAGTAACATCAGATATGTTGAGTATTTTAATATAATTTATGTTTAAAAATTTCATAGTAAGAAATATAGGATACACAATGTGCAAAATATGTGCCTAAATTTGCACATGTATCCTAAAAACTATCATATTAAAATATTAAGAAAAGTATAAAAATACCAACTTTGTTAATCAGTAACACACATAAAAAACTTTCAATCAAGATTGGATAGTCATATTTTAACCAACACTAATTTCATATTAATAATATTTTATATATTTGCACGTATATAACAGTAATAGTATATTTTATA